TTGAACTCACAACCTCGAGCTTGCCAGGCAGGTGCTTTTGCCACTGAGTTAAGTCCCCAGTTCCTAAATCCTCTTTTCTTTATGATCCCAGCCTGCTTTGGGTATTTTGTTATACTAACAGAAAATGAATATGGCACACTCCTTTAATCCCAGCATTCGCAGAGGCTCAGGAGGGAGGATCCCAAACTGAAGCATGGGCAATGTAATGACTTATGAGATTCTGTCTCAAAATTGAAAAAAAAAGTCATAAACAGGGGTTCGGGACTTAGCTCAGCGGCATAAGCACCTGCCTTGCAAGCAGGCAGTCATGAGTTCGATCCCCAGTACCGATAAAAAGGAAAAAGACAAAAAAAAAGGGTGAGTGGCATAGCTCAGGGCAGAGGTCCTTGTTCAATCTTCAGTACTGAGAAAAAAAAAATAAGGAGGAAAAAGGCTGCAGGACCGGTAGGTTTTGGAAAGGAGATTCGAAATTTAGGATTTGTGGATACAACTGTGGCAAAGTACAGTCATAACTGACTTTCCTTTTGTCTGGCCAGTGAGTAGATGATTACACACTGACGTCAACATCTGTGAACACACCTGAGCCCAGCTGCACATTTGGCTGCCGCTCCGCTTCTAAATGATGTTGCTTTGGTGGTGGCCAGAAACTCTGAAGTTCCTTCCTTCCTTCCTTTCTTCCTTCCTTTCTCCCTCTCTTTCTTTGTTTCTTCCTTCCTTCCTAGCACAGGATTTCAGTAGGTTGTTCAGGCTGGGTTTGAACTCATCATGCAGCACAGGCTAGCGTCAAGCTCACTGCGATCCTCCTGCCTCATCCTCCCAAGATTACAGGCATACACCATCATGCCAGGTTTATAGCACTTGCAATGTATCTTCTGGTAACACAGTACTGTAGCACACCTCTGTGAATGGAAAATGTCTTGTACCTGCTTCATGATACATAGTAGTGAGTGATACGCTGTACCAGAGAGCTGTTTTTAAATGCTGTTTCTCTAGAATGTTTTCTTTCCAGAAGATGACTGAGTTGCTAATAAGAACAGTTTTGGTACCACAACAATAGCAGAATTGCTGTTTCCTATTTGTGTTTGTTTCTTTTTTTTTTCCCCTTTGGTATTTTTGAGACAGGGTCTCACTATGTAGTTCAGGTTGGCCTTAAATTCACTTTGTAGCTCAGATTGGACTCAAACTCACAAGGGTCCTTCTGCCTCAGACTTTCAAGTGCTAGGATTACAGGCATGTGCCAGAGGGTAGGCACCATCATGCCCATTTCTTTCCTTTTTTAAAACAGTGTGTGAAGTAATTTTGTTCAGAGGACTGCAGAACCTTGCAAAGGTATCATTGCTATTGATGCCTAACATATTGGTACTATTGGTCTTTTATATAAATGTCTGAAATATACATATAAAATTTTTGGCTTCAACCAACAGAGGCAGTTAGATATACAGATGGAGAAGTTGAAACAAATCAATGGAGTTGGGAAGTGGGGTGAGAAGGGGTTCGGATTGAGGGGGTCTCAGTTGACTGATGAGATTTACAGGTAAGATTGCAAACCATGTGGTTGGTTGAGACCCTTAAGACTAGGTATGGGGGTTGGAGATTTAGTTCCATGGCACAGTGCCTCCCTGGCAAACTGGAGGTCCTGAGTTCAATTCCCTGTAACCCTTGCCCCGCAAGAAAGACTAAGTATACATATAGAAGAGAAGAGACCCTCATTGCAGGGCATGGTGGTGCACACCTACCTGCAATTCCAGTATTTTGTGAGGCTGAGTCAGGAGGATCACAAGGTCAGTCCCATCCTGGGCATCTTAGTGACTTAGGGAATCTTGTCTCAATAAAACCAATAAATAGATTTCAAAAACAGCAGAGAGTGTAGCTCTTTGCAAAGGCTCTATGCTCCATCTCCAACATTACAGACATGCAGATATACATGCATAATGAACTCTGGGACAATAACATCTGAGTTAGGTTAGGGAGTTAAGAAATAAGAAACTGTGTATATGAAGAGACAATTGGATGTTTAAGTCATTACACTTGTTATAATTTATAACTACTTCCTATTCTTGTTTGTTATTGCATGCATGCATGTATTTATTGATCTATTCATTTGTTTGATATGGGATCTCATTATGTAGCGCAAACTGGTCTTGAAGTCAAAGTGATCCTCCAGCCTCAGCTTCCCAAGTGCAAGATTGTAGGCTTGTGCCACAACCCTGGGTAGCAACTTTCTATTCTTGGCATTGATTAAATTTTTTAGTTGGGACCATTAAGTATTAGATTAAACCTATGAGGTGCATTTCATTGGAAATGGAAATGTATGAACTGGTAATATACCAGTGTATCCTATAAGACAGGAGAAACCTCTGTTAGTACTGTGACTTCGGGATGTTTTGCTCATTATATATTAACATTTATTTATTTATTTTTGGTCCTTTTGAGTCAGGATCTCTCTATGCAGTTTAAGTTGGCTTTGAGTTTTTTTTTTTCTTTCTTTCTTCCTCTTCTTCTTCTTCTTCTTTTTTTTTCTGGTATCAGAGATCCAACTCACGACCTCACACATGCCAGGCAGGTGCTTATACTGCTGAGCAAATCCCTACCCCTTGAACTCACTTTGTAGCCCAGGCTGGTCTTGTACCTGCAATGATCCTCCTGCCAGCCTACTGAGTGCTAGAATTACAGGCATGTGGCACCACATCCAACTTATTTATCCATTTTTTTTGGCTTTTTCGTTTTTATCGGTACCAGGGATCGAACTCAGGACTGCCTGCTTTCAAGGCAGGCGCTTATGCCGCTGAGCTAAATCCCCAGCCCCTATTTATCCATTTTTGAGATGGTCTCAATATGTAAATCAAGCTGACCTCAAACACATGGGGATCCTTCTGTCTCAACCTCCCGAGTACTTGGATTACAAATTTGTACTGCCATAATTGGCCTATTTTTTTTTTTTTTTTGTCTTTTTTGAGATGGGGTCTCACTATGCAGTACAGGCTGGCCTTGAGCTCACTTTGTAGCCCAGGCTGGTCTCAAACTTGCAATGATCCTCCCACCTCAGCCTCCTGAGTGCTGGGTTACAGGTGTGAGCCACCACACCCGGCTTCTTTGCAATTTTTCTACCACTGAGCTATATCCTCAAGCCAATTCCAGCCAATTTTAAGGATCAGTGGTTTTGTTTTGTAACTCACAACCTCACATTTGCCAGGCAGGTGCTTGTGTCATTGAGCTAAATCCCCAGGTCTTTTTTGACAAAGGCTGGACTTGAACTCACTTTGTAGCCTAGTCTGGCCTGGAACTCACAGCAATCTTCTCGCTTCAGATTCTTGTGTGCTGGGATTACAGGGTCAGTGGTTCTAATCACATTTGTCTTTTTTTTTTTTTTTTTAATCGGTACCGGGGATCGAACTCACGACTGCCTGCTTGCAAGGCAGGTGCTTATTCTGCTGAGCTAAATCCCCAGCCCCCCTAAATCACATTTGTAATGCATGTAATCATCTCTACCATAGGGAGCTTATGGTTCTTCAGTTTATTTATTTATTTTTTATTGGTACCAAGAATCAAACTCACAAAAAGAAAAAAAAAAAAAAAAAAAAGAATCAAACTCATGACCTTGTGCTTGCCAAGCAGGACTTGTGCCGCTGAGCTAAACCCCACGCCTGATTATTCAGTTTAAACATGTAAAATATAAATATTTATACATGGCTCCCTATTTTATGGTACAAAAAACTGAAAAGAAGAAAATACGGTTTTGAGAACTGGACCTGGCATTAGTGACTCATTCATTGAATAGAGTTCCTCCCCTTTCTCGCCTTTTCTCCTGTTTGTGACAGTATCTCTCTATGGAGTCCAGGCTGACCTTGAATCTACTATGCAGCCAGGCTTGCTTCAAACTCAAGGAGATCCTCCTGTCTCAATCCCCTGATCACAGGCAATCACTCCACTAGGCATTCCTTCCTTTTTGTTTGTTTGTTTTGTTTTTTGGTTTTGTGAGATAGATTCTATGTTTCTCAGGCTGGCCTCAAATTCACAGTGATCCTCCCACCTCCGTCCCAGCCTGCCTCCCTCTTTCATGCAGAGGTTTGAATCCTTGGCTTAGAGCATGCTAAAGGCTTGCTCTACAGCTGAGCTGCACTTCTAGTTCTGTAATAGCTATTTCTGAACCAGTGGCTAAAGTTTTAGGACAACCTCAGTTCCACAGTAGGAATGAGCTGTCCTGGGCGTGTGTGCGTGTGTGTGTGTGTGTGTGTGTGTGTGTGTGTGTGTGCGTGTGCAGCTGAGGGAGGTGAGGAGGCGGTGTTGGGGTATACAGCTGGGGTGACTGACAGCTGGGCCTACTTGTAGGATGTGGAGGAGCAAACAGATCCACAGGGCCTGAGGAGGCGAGGCAGAGCTAGTTGTGCCAACGCCGAGGGAGGCGAAAAAGCAGCTGAGTTATTGATGTTGTTTTTGGCAGAGGTGTTGCTGGTGGCATGAAAGATCAGCAGAGGTGAGGGAGGGCTGAAGCTGAGGTTCAGGAGGAGCTCAGAGGGGCAGAGCTGAGGGGAAGAAGGGAGCAAGCTCCGAGTGTTGTCCGGAAAACGAGAAACAGAAGTCGGGCAAGGGGGCGCAGGCCTGTAATCCCAGCACTCAGGAGACTGAGGCAAGAGGATTGCCACAAAATTCGAAGCCACCCTGGGCTACAGAGTGAGACCCTGTCAAAAAAGCGAGCGAAACAAAGTGGAGAGGACAGAGGAGAGAGAGAAGGAGAGAAGGGGAGGAGAAAAGAGAGAATGAATCTGGCTGGCTAACAGAGGCCAATGGCTGGGACAGTGGTGGGCTTTGACGGGACCCCCTCACTGCCTCTTCCCCGCCTCCGCGGAACCCTAAGGCCCTGCTTGAAACGCAAGGCGGGCCACAGAGACGCGGGGCGGGGCTGAGCAGGGGAGCCCAGCTTCGGCGGCGTCTTATCCCGCCCCCGCCCCTTTGAGCCCGCCCCCCTGGCCCGCCCCCATACGTCATCAGCCAGCGCCCTGCGCCGTGCTTGTCTTTCGGCCCCGCCCGCGCGGCGGCCGGCCTCTTGTTGCTGCCCGCCCCAGCTATGGTCCTCTCCTGTGCTTTGTAAGTTGGCACCAGCGTCTCCCGACGTGGCCTGATCATGGTGGCTGCGGCGGCGGCCCTGGCAGCGGCCGATCCTCCTCCCGCGATGCCGCAGGCGGCCGGAGTCGGAGGGTCCACTGCCCGGCGAGACTTCTACTGGCTGCGCTCCTTCCTGGCCGGAGGTGGGTGTTCGCGGCTGGGGCAGGGTCGCGGGCAGCTCGGGTGCCAGCGGCTGCGCTGACATTCCTGGACTTACCTGCTTCATTGCTCGCCGGATATTTATTTGCCTTTACTTCCTGTGACCTCTTTCTAGTAATCACCAGGCAGGTGACAACTAGGTCCTCGGATCTTAGGCTCTCCTAGAGGGACTGGAAACGTGGAACGACTGAACCAGGCACCTGTTCTGGGATTGGATAGCTTGGAAAAAGAAGGGGATCCCTGACATAGAACATGCTGAGCATCCCTTTCTTTTATCAAGGTCGTGCATGGCTGAGTGTAGAAACTGGATTTTGCTATTTGCTTAAAGGAAAACAAATACTAGAGACCAGCTTTTTAAAGAAATTGTGCAAAATTTTATACAACCACAGTAGTTCCAGGGATTCTAGTAAACTGTGCCACAACCGCTTGACAAGCTCTAGTATTGGGGTTACTCTGCGGCCAAAAGGTTCACACCGTCTCAAAATAAATTTCCTGTGCTTTCCCATGAATACATGTGTCACCCTATGATTGCTTGACTGAGCTGTCATCACTTAATATTTAAGCCCAGGAATTTGTTAAAAATTCACATTATGAGAAATATTGTAGAAATGTAACTGTAAACTTCGGGAGTATTAAGAATTTAATTATTTTGTCCTGGTGATTGAAAAGGACATTTGTTCATTCATACTGGGTATACCCGAGTGCCAGCTGTGTGCTTGCTTTTTGCTTGGAATACATCAGAGGAAAAAAAAAAAAAAAACGAAGTCTATGGCCTCCTGGAATTTTCACCGTTTCTGGAACATTGAGGGGAAAGACAATAAGCAAAATTAGAAAGTAACTTGTAGCGCATGTTAGAAACGTGCAAAGGGGAGATATAACTAGCAGTGTGTGGAGTACTAAGTTGGACAGTTGTAGAGAGTTTTGTCTAATTGAGAGGTTGAGATGAGCTAATTTTTTTGTCTGGTGCTGGGAAAAGAACCTAGGCCTTCACTCTGACTACATTCCAAGCCCCATTTTTTTTTTTTTTTTTTGGTCTGTCTGAGACAGGGTCTCACTATGCAGTTCAGGTTGGCCTTGAGCTCACTTTGTAGCTTAGGCTGGCCTCAAACTCAAAACAGTCCTCCTGCTTCAGCCTCCCAAATGCTGGGATTACAGGTGTGCGTCACCACTCCTAACTTGGCTAGCACAGTATTGAGCAAAAGCAGCCAGGCATAAACAAGTGTACTGTGATTACATTTGTATTGAGTTCAAAAACAGTTGAAGTGAATTCTGTGGTGTGAAAGTTAGAATTGTAGTCTATCTCAAAATAGTGATAGTGATTTGGGGAGTTTGGGAAAGGGATTTTTGTACCGGGGATTGAACTCATAACTTTGCATTTTCCAGGCAGGTGCTTTTGCTGTTGAGCTAAACTCCTGGCCTGAGATTTTTTTTTTTTTTTTTTTTTTTGAGACAATGTCTCACTATGTACTTTAGGCTGGCATTGAGTATATGGTGAATGGCAGTCTTTCCTCTTCAGCCTCTTGAGTGCTGGGACGACAAACATACACTACCACATCTGGCTTATATTTAATTTTTTTTTTTTTTGTCTTTTTCATTTTTATTGGTACCGGGGATCGAACTCAGGACCGCCTGTTTGCAAGGCAGGTGCTTATGCCACTGAGCTAAATCCCCAGCCCCATATATTTAAATTTTTTTTTTTTTTGGTCTTTTTCCTTTTTATCGGTACCAGGGATCGAACTCACGACTGCCTGCTTACAAGGCAGGCATTTATGCCGCTGAGCTAAATCCCCAGCCCCCTATATAATTAATTTTTGATATCTCAAAATATGTATTTTTGTGGTAGTGGGATTGAACCCAGGTCTTTGCACTGAGCTATACCCCCCTTTTTATTTTTGACAGAAATGCTAAGTCACTAAGTTGCTGTCTGTGCTCAGATTTGCTTTAGCCTCTTAGAATGCTTAGTCTCAAAGTGTGGATTTTAACATTGGTTACATGCTGAACTATTGAGTAAAGTGTGTATGTACTTTGAGTGATTTTGACTTATATTTTAAAAATTTGTAATAAATTCATACCTGTAACCCTAGAATTCTGGGAGGCTGAAATAAGATCGAAAGTCTGAGCACAGCCTGGGCAATTTAGTGACTTGGTGAGACTGTTACCAGGCTTTAAAGTGCTAGAGTCTCCTGGATGTGGTTTCTAGGTTCTTTCTGTACTGAGCAAAGAACTGATCAAGACAAGCATAAAAATGACTGGGCACAGTGAGCATGCCTGTAATCCTAGTGCTTGGGAAACTGAGGCAGAAGGTTCACTGTGAGTTTGAGGCTGGCCTGGGTTGTATAGCAAGACCCAGTCTCAAAAAACAAATAAAAAGACTGTCTCAACAAATGAATAACCACTTCCCTCACAAAAAACACTGAAACATATACAAAGAAATGAAAAGAAAAGAAACATGCTCTTCGGAGTAGGTTTGGGCCAACCTCAAGTAGGAAGAGAAGCACACTCTGCAGGGTGAGAGCACAGTGGTCAGGAGCCCCATGGTATTCTGCTGTTGTATCCCCAGTTCCTCAGGCTGATGCCGGGTGTATGCTGTAGGCTGTCCTGTCAAGCTCTGCTTGCTTTCCTGTGAGGAGACTTGAAGACAGCACTCTTTGGTTGGTTCCAAGTACAAAGGTTGGCACATTTCTCCTGAGTCTTTGTGCTGAACATAGGACATCTTCCTGCTCAGCTGGCTGGCCACACCCCAATCTACCTGACTCCTGCCTTGGCCTTCTGAGTGCTGGGATCACAAGTGTCAGCCACTGTTCCCTGGAAAGCTTTTTATTTATGTTTATTTTTTTAAAAAAAATTTATATATACATAATAATCACATTCATCATAGAGAATTTGTACCAGTACGTGATATATCTTGTCTCTTTTTTTCCCCCTGTTCCTCTCCCCTCTCTTCAACCCTTCTTTCTGAAAGACTTTTTATTCACATTTTATAGTAGTAACAACTCATAGCTGAACATAATACTGTAGTCACAGCTACTCCAGAGGCTGAGGCAGGAGGATCAGGAGTTCAAGACCAGCTTTCACAACATAACAAGACTGTGTCTCAATCATAGTAATCATCTTCATAATGACAATCTCACCAGCCCAGCTTATGGAGTGTTTACTGTCCGGGCAGTACTGGAGAAAGGTTTTCCTGTGGTCTTTGAGAAGGGTGCCGTGCCAGTAGCTCAGCAGCATCTGAACTGTGCTGAAGACTGCGTAAGCACTTTGCTTTCGTCCACACCCCATGGCTGGTGCAGCCTCGGAGATATCAAATACATATTGGCTGAATGTCCGCAGGAGTGGTTCATTGATGGGTACTCATTGTCAGTTCAGTGAAAGTATTATCCAGAAGAGGTGGTCACTTCAAACAGCACTTTCTACTTGGTTAAAATACCTTCCAGTATTAATCTCCTTAGCTCTGTTTTAGCAAAATTCCCTGTGTTCATGGGTGTTAGGATCCAATTTACACTGCTAGATCTTAAATTTTTTAAAAATTTTTTTGGTACCAGGGATCGAACTTACAACCTTGTTCTTGCAGGTAGGCGCTTAGTGCTGCTGAGCCAAATCCCCAACCTCAGAACTTATTTTTAGGTCTGACATGTTTGGTTAAGTTGCAGGGAAATCAACGTGGTGATGCACATCTGTAATCCCAGAGGCTGATGCAGGAAGATCTTGAGTTTGAGGCTAGCTGGGGCTATATAGTGAGTTCCAAGACGGCCTGAACTACCTACTCAGGTGCTATCTTAAAAAATCAAACAAACAGGGCCAAGGATTTAGCTCAGTGGCTCAAGCACTTGTCTGGTAAGCTCAAGGTCGTGAATTCAATCCCCAGTACCAAAAAAGAAAAAAGAAAAAAAACAAACAGACAAAGCTTCCAGGGAACAGGGCCAGTCATCTGCATACCCTGCTACTGGCTACTTCTCCACATAGAGACTACTGTAAGGAAGGGCAGGTTTGCTGATTGAAGGAACAATGATATCCCTCCTGGAAGGAATGGTATGCAGTTTTTGATGTTTCAAATATTTTTTTAGGTATTGCTGGATGCTGTGCTAAAACAACAGTTGCTCCTTTGGATCGAGTAAAGGTTTTATTACAAGCTCACAATCGCCATTACAAGCACTTAGGTGAGTTAAGATGCTAATGAGGAAGACAAATGAAAATTACCTGTTTGCTTGCTTGGTTTCCAGCTGTGAAGTATACCAGAAAGAAGATACTAAGGAAATTCAAGTTTTTTGGTAAATTTTGCTAGCAATGTACCTCTTAGCAGTTTTAATCCTTTCATTTTCAAGAGTGGTTATATGTATTACCATTTTAGGGTTGCTGATATTTTTCAATCTAAAATTTTAGGATTGAGGAAGTCATATTTGTTTGTTGTGATTAATGATTTATGCTCCTCATAGATACAGCAGCTCAGCCTGACATTTTTAATCCAATCAGTGACAGAGATGAGGATTGGGAAATGCAAGACTGAAGTAATTACTTCTTCAATTACGTGAACAGCTGAGTGTAGTGGTGCATGCCTGTAATCCCAGCATTCTGGGAAGGAAGCAGGAAGACTGCAAGTTTGAGCCCAGTTTGTGCAGTTTAGTGACTTAGCAAGATACTGTCTCAAAAAGTGGGAAGGGTGCTGTGTTGGGGATGTGGGAAGGTTCTGGGTTTAATCCCCAGCACCAAAATAAAGAAAGAAACAGAAGAAAAAAACTCAAGGTTTCTAGAACAAAAATTATTTTTGGTACTGAAGATTGAATCCAAAGCCTTCACTTTGAACTATATCCCTACCTCTTATATATATTTTTTAAATTTGTTTTTAAATTTGGAAGGGCATTTTTTGAGGCAGTGTCTTGTTACATTTAGTCCAGGCTGGCTTTGCAGTGTCTATGTAGCCCAGGCTCCCCTCACTCCCAAATGATCCTTTTGCCTCAACCTCCTAAGTGTTATGACTACAAGCACATGCCAGCAAGACTGGCTTTATTTTTTGTTTTGTGGCAGGGTTTCTGTAAGTCACTAAACTGCCCTAGCTGGGCTCAAATTTAGTATCTCCGGCCTCAGCCCCAGTATGGTGGGATTGTAGGCATGTGCCACTATTCTGGGTATTTTGTAGAAATCTTAATGGAAGCAGCATAAGATATAATTAGTATGCACATATGTGTATATAAGGTTAATTTATTACTGTACTGGAGATTGAATTTAGGATCTTGAGCTATATAACTGTGTTTTAAAAAATTTTTTTTTTTAATATTTTGAGACAAGGTCTTGCTTAGTTGCTCAGGGGCCCTAGATTTGTTTAAACTTGCTGTTCTGCCTCAGCCTCCCGAGTAGCTGGGATTATAAGCATACCACTTTGTCAAGCTTCATGTATTGCTTTTCCAATTTGCAGGGGGAAATAATTTTTTTTTCTGTACGAGGGATTTAACCTAGGACCTTTACACTGAGCCATACCGCCAATCCCTTTTATTTTATTTTTTATTTTGAAACCTGATCCTCTGAATTGCTAAACTGTCTAAGCATGGTTGAAATTTTGTTTCTTTATTTTATTTATTATTTATTTTTGTCTTTTTGAGATAGGGTCTGGCTATGCAGTTCAGGCTGGCCTTGAGCTCACCTTGTAGCCCAGGCTGGTCTTGAACTCGAAATGATCCTCCTGCCTCAGCCTTCCAAGTTCTGGGATTACAGGCATGTGCCACTATACCCACTCGTTTATTTTTTTGAGAGTGTGTATAGTTCAGGCCTCTCTTGAATTCTTTATGTAGCTCATGCCATCTGCTTACTGGAATTCTCCTGCCTCAGTCTCTTGGGTGCTAGAATCGTAGACTGTGCCCAGTTTAAAAGATTTTTTTTCAATTTTTTTTTTTGGTACCGGGGATCAAACTCACAACCTTGTGCTTGCCAGGTAGGCACTTACGCTACTGAGCTAAATTTACAGCCCTAAAAGATTTTCATTTTAAAGTGTTTTTGTGGTCTTGAGGATTGAACTCGGGGCCTTGCACATGATAAGCGTGTTCTCTACTTTGGTGCTACACTCCTAACACAGGAGGGAAAAAAAATTCAAAGAATGAAAAATCCAAATATGTACAGAGACGAAGAAAGAAGTTAGGTTGTAGTAAAAACTCTAGTCACTGCAGTGGAGCCCAAAGTTTCCAGTTCCGCGCTCCAGTGGCCAGAGTGCCACACATCCTTGTGCAAGCTGCACGCAGCCGTGCACGGCAAGAGGCTTAATCAGGGGAAGAGGTCAATTGTTTTTCCAACTGACTTTTTTTTTTTTTTTTTTTTGGTCTTTTCGAGCCAGAGTTTTGATATGTAGTTCAGATTGGCCTTAAACTCATAGCAGTACTCCTGCCTCAGCCTCCCAAGAGCCAAGATTGTAAGCGGACACCATGCCAAGCCTCCAACTGATTTTTGAAGGGACTACTTTTTTTTTTTTTTTTTTGTTGGTACTGGGATCAAACTCACAACTTCATGCTTACCAGGCAGGGGCTTATACCACTGAGCTAAATCTCCAGCCCCATCTCCAACTGATTTTTAACATGTGATTTTTCATGAACACCTGAGTGGATATTCATGGCATACATTAACTGTAGCTCACTTTTTTTTTTTTTTTTTTTTTTTTTTTGTACCAGGGATCAAACTCACAATTATGCCACTGAACTAAATCCCCAGCCCTGTAGCTCACTTTTAATGCTAGGGAAGTCTATTGAAAGAAGTGTAGTTATCTCTTGATCCAACCATGAATTTTGTAGCTCCACACAAGAAAGGCAAGAAAGAATCAGAATGTTGGGCTTACTGAAAGATTATAAACTACTACAGAGAAGGAACTGATTGTGTTTTGTTGTCTAATTGAGGGTGAAAAGAAGGTGCATAGCAGTTTCTTGGGGGGTTCATAGTGACCCAGCCTGTGAATGTGGAGCTCAATCCCCTCCAGCTAGGGATGGGGAGCAGCCCTTCGTGTATTCATCTTACATTTCCTGCTGTGCTCTGCCCTGCTGGGTACCCTGGGCTATGCTGCAGAGCTTGAAGCAGAATCCTGGAACAACAGCAAGCTATTAGTATATTACCAGGAATGTTGCGTACCTTTAAGATAGACAGGTCAAAAAAAGTATTAGTGACATTTAGAATTTCATTCTTAAAAATATTTTTTGGCATTTTATTCTAAGTAGTCCCACCTTGTATAAGATAGGTCTTTTTTTTTTTTTTTTTAACTTTTTATCAGTACTAGGGATTGAACTCACGACCGCCTGCTTGCAAGGCAGGTGCTTATGCCGCTGAGCTAAATCCCCAGCCCCTATAAGATAGTTCTTAAAGTGGTGATTATGTGTATGCATATGTAGATAAGAAATAAACATATAAAATTGTATATATTATGCTGGGTGTGGTGGTGTACACCTGTAATTCCTGCATTCAGGGAAGCTGAGGCAGGAGGAGCAATCATTATTTTTACTTATTTATTGATTTTTTTGGTACCGGGAATCGAACTCATGACCTCATACTTGCCAGGCAGGAGTTTACACCACTGAGTTAAGTCCCCGGCCCTTACTTTTTATTTTGAGATAGAGTTTTGCTAAATCTCTAACTTGCTCAAGCTTGGGTCAAATTTGTGATCCCCTGCTTGAGCCTGCCAGAGTGCTGAAATTACAGGCTGTGCCATCACAGACAGCTCATTAAAAAAAAAATTTTTTTTTTGGTACCAGGAATCGAAATCACAACTTTACATTTGCCAAGCAGGCACTTACGCCACTGAGGTAAACACCTGGCCCCATTAAAATACTTTTTACAAAAATATTTATGACTCTAAATGTTTCAAAGAATAATATTCATTTATTCATTGATTCATTCTTTCAGTGGTGTTTTTTGAGACAGGGTTTTGCTAAGTACCTAATTTCCCAGCTTGGCTGGACTTGAGCTTACAGATCTGCTTCAGCCTCCCAAAGTGCCAGGACTGCAGATGTTCACAGGATGAGTGCTTTCTGTATACATCTGACCTCCTCTGTACTTTGACCTTGCCACTAGCCTGCTTGTCCCTAATAGGTAATCAATGTTCTACACTTGACTGACTCTTATGTGAGTACAGATGATTTTGAATCAGATTAAACAGAGCTTAACCTTTCCCTCTCTTCCAGCAAAATGAAGTCTTTAATGAACTCTTTTTAATAAAACATTCTTCCGTTTAGATATTTGCTTATTAAAAAGTGCTTTTGGGATATGATGTTGCTTGGCTGTTTAGTGTTTGCGGTTTTTTAATTATTAGAAAGGGCTCTAAAGGTTACTTGCATCTGAAATTGGAAATGAACCCAGTCAAATGACTTTCATAACTCCTTTCATTGCACTGATAGGGATAACATTTTCTCTTATGCATTCATACATGACATAGATGTGACAAAGTTTAATTTACAAATGAGGCACAAGACATGAATAAAGCTGGGTGTCGTGGTACAGGTCTGTGATCCCAACACTGGGAAGGGGTGCTGAGGCAGGAGGATTGCTGTAAGTTCAAGGCCAGCCTGTACTAAATAGGAGACTCTGTCTCCCAAGGAGGGAAAGGACACAAATAATAACTAACAATCAAATGGAGCAATTAGAACGGTTTATTATAATGAAAATTATATGAATTAGTTACTTGAAATACTATATTGTCTGTTTTAATCTTTTTTTTTTTTTTTGTCAGTGCTAGGGATCGAACTCACAATCACGAGCTTGTAAGGCAGGCACTTTATGCTGCTGAGCTAAATGCCCAGCCCCATCGGTTTTAATTTTTTTAAAAATATTTTTATGCCGGGGATTTAGGTCAGTGGCACAAAAGCTTGCCTAACAAGTGTGAGGTCATGAGTTTGATCCCCAGTACCACAAAAAAAAAAAGTTTTTATGGTGCTAGGGCTCCAACCCAGGGCCAGTGCACACTAGGCATATACTTAACAACTGAGCTATGTTGCAAGCCTACAGCAGGTTTTCTATGAGGTGTGTTTATTTATTTATTTTTTTTGTCTTACTCTTTTTTTATTGGTACCGGAGATCGAACTCGTGACTGCCTGCTTGCAATGCAAGGCAGGCGCTTATGCCGCTGAGCTAAATCCTCAGCCCCCAAGGTCTGTTTATTTATACTTATTTGAGTATATGGTATATTTTAAGGAAGTTTAACTGATGTATCAAAATTCCTATTTGTGTTATTCCTTAAGCAAAATTCTGTCATGAAGAGCCGGGCGTGGTGGTGCACGCCTGTAATCCCAGCATTTGGGTTGCCGAGGCAGAATGCCTCTTTGTGAGTTTGAGACCAGCCTAGGCTACAAAGTGAGCTCAAGGCCAGCCTGAACTGCATAGTGAGACCCTGTCTCAAAAAAGGAAAAAAGAAAAAGAAAAAAAATTCTATCATGAATGATGGCACCGTAATCTTTATGAGTGATTGTCTTGGAAATTTAAATTTCAATAATTTCCTCTGTTTTAATGATGTTTTTCTTGTAAAATCTTTCTAAAAATAGGAGTATTTTCTGCATTGTGTGCTGTTCCTCGAAAGGAAGGATACCTTGGATTGTATAAAGGAAATGGTGCCATGATGATTCGAATCTTTCCCTATGGCGCAATCCAGTTTATGGCATTTGAGCGGTACAAAATGGTAGCTGAATTTTCCTCTTTTCTCTTTATCCTTGAATATCACGCTTAACTTGCCCAATATTTTTTTCTCTTTTGTGGGGTGCAACTAACAATTTGTTTGTATGTATGTATGTATTTGTTTATTTGATTGAACCAGGGATTGAACTCAAGTTCTTGCGCATGTGTGTGCTTTGAGCTATTTAAAATGACTTTGGCTGGGTATAATGGCTCACCCTATAATCCCAGCACTCAAGAGGCTGAGGCAGGAGGATCACTGTGAGTTTGAGTCCAGCTTTTGCTAGATAGTGAGTTCAAGTGCTGGGTTGCTACATTTTAAAGAATGTTAGTCTGTCTCTTTGTGTGTGTGGTGCTGGGAATGGAAGCTAGGAATGTAGGCTAGGCCCAGATTCTACCACGGACCACTGAGTGGCATCCCTGCCCACATGAAATGTATTTTAGAATGGAAGCAAGCAGCAAAGATGGAATTGCATGCCAAACTGGCTTGTCAGAATCGATGCCATCAGAGACTGAGGCTCATTGTCTGTAGTAGCTTTTTATTCTTGCTACCCCCATTCACATTTTAAGGGTAGTAGTATATAGTATGTAATTCTAAGATAGATAACTAAGGTAGATTGTGTCTGCAAAAGTACAAAAATTTAGGGACTGGGTATGGTAGTGCACACCTATAATCCTAGTACTCTGGAGGTTGAAACAGGTGGATTACTTGGAGTTCAAGGCCAGCGTGGGCTACATAGCAAGATCCAATCTCAAAAAAAGTGCAAAAATTTAGGAAGAAACTCGAAGAAATACCTTCGTCTGGTATGACGAGGTATTGCCCAACTTTGTGTGTTATGCTCATTTTATTCATACCTATTATTACATTTTATTACACTTGTACCTCTTTGAAATAAATCTTGATTGTTAAGTGAAATGGGTAGCATTTAAAAGATGTCTCATTTAATTTGATGTATCTGGTTTCTAGTTGATTACCACAAAACTGGGAATTTCTGGTCATGTGCACAGATTAATGGCTGGATCCTTGGCAGGTAAGAGCAGCACTGTATTTCTTCTTTTGTTTCTTGTTTTTTGGGTATCAGGGATCGAATTCATGATCTCATGCTTGCCAGGCAACCAATTGTACCATTGAGCTATATCCCCTGCCTCTTTGCTTCTTGAGACAGGTTCTCGCTATGTATTCCAGGCTGGACTTGAACTCACCATGTAGCCCAGGCTGGTCTCAAACTCATGATAACCTCCTGCCTCAACCTCCCAAGTGTTGGGATTACTGGATATGCCCAGTCACCCACCTTGGCCAGCTATATTTCTGAGAAAGTAATTTTCCATTAATTTACTTAATTTGATTTAGGTAATATGTATGACATTGATCAGGCAGCCTTTCCCCCAAAACAAAACAACTACTGGGCAGAAAGCATGCATTCTATTTTATAATCCTTTGATTTTGTTTTGTTTTGTCTATGATACTAAGGATTGAACCTAGGGTCTTTGTACCAGAACTGCATCCCCAGTACTTTTTATTTATTTAATTTTTTTTCTGCAACACTGAGGATTGAACAGTTGGTCTTCTCACTGAATTATATCTCCAGCCCTTTTATTTCTGATCCTCCTGCTTTAGCCACTTGAGTGCTAGAATTACAAGTGCGCATTACCATGCCTGGCTGAAAAAAAGATTTAAACAGCCTCAGCTAGTTTATGGCAATTGAAATCATATGTTCATGAAAATAGAGAACTTAGTGCTAAATTAACATAACCAGGTTTGATCTTTGGTATGAATCATTTCTGTGACTTGAGGATTTATATTTTATGCTTGGTCAAGGACAAATTCACCTAAATTCTAAATAGAAAATAATTTGGGGGTGTAGCTCAGTGTTATAGCACTTGCCTAGCATAGATGAGGCTGTGGATCCCATCTCTAGTGTTGGCAAAATAACCCCCAAAAGACCAAAAAAAAAAGAAAATTATGATTGTACCCTTTTGTGTACGTTTTTGTGTAAAACCTCATCGTATGAAGCCAGGAGGGTGGTAGTATGCACCTGTAGGCACAGCTGCTGAAGAGGCTTAAGTAGGCCCAACCTTTCAGGCCGGCCTGAGCAACATAGTAAGGTTGTTTTAAAAAATCCTTATGATCTAACTGATTCTGTTCTGTTTTGGTGCTAATAATATAATTTCACAAAGGAAAGAACTTGAAGAAACTTTTATAAACTCAATTTTTACTTTTTTGTTTTTGTTTGTTTGTTTTGCGACAGGATCTCACTATGTAGTTCAGGCTGGCCCTGAACTTACCATGTAGCCTTGGCCGGCCTTGAACTCTCATCAATCCTCCTGACTAATCTCCTGAGTACTTTAGGGGATCCTATTGTCTTACCACCCTGCTGCATTTTTTTGGTCTTTTTCCTTTTTTATCGGTTTTGGGGATCGAACTCTCCAGCCCCCGCATTTGGTTTTCTTAATTGCTATATTTTGAGAATGCTACTAACAATAGAGAATGTACAGACATGTTTATATATGCATAGATGTATATGTCAGTAAGGTTTTTCTAAACTGGGCATAGTGGTGCACTGTGGGAGGCTGAGACAGGAAAATCTCAAGTTGAAACCAGCTTGGGCAATTTGGTGACAACTTAGCTCAAAACAAAAAACTAAAAACATCAACTGAGGCTAGGACAGTGAAAAGGCCCTGCTACTGTCTTGTCACCTTGTGGCTCTCTTTGCAGGCATGACAGCAGTTATTTGTACCTACCCTCTTGATGTGGTCAGGGTGCGCTTAGCGTTCCAGGTGAAAGGGGAGCACACCTACACAGGAATTATCCATGCCTTCAAAACCATCTATGCAAAGGTATTGGGCACTTACTTTTCCCTCATATCACGGGTCCTTTTTATTTAGGAAGATATTTTGAATGGTGTCTAATTATTTTCTTTACAATGTTGATACTAATAATAATCATTATGAAAGCTCATTTTCATGTTTCAGGAAAAGTCTCAGAAGATTGTTTTTATTGTATTACGTGCTTTTGGCCTTTAAGCATAATCTAATTTCACTTCCAATTTTCCTTCACTCAAAAGGAAGGTGGTTTCCTTGGATTTTACAGAGGCCTGATGCCAACTATATTAGGAATGGCTCCATATGCAGGTATGTTTCAGATTTGGTAGGGTGTTACTTGTATTATTTAGAGTATGGCACCAGTTTTGTTTTTTTTTTTTTAAGTGGTAACATGAAATGATGCTTTTCATGAAATGAAAAAGTCCCCTTCATTTAAGAAGTGACAAAGATGGCGGGGTGTGATGGTGCACGCCTATAATCCCAGCACTTGGGAGGCTGAGGCAGGAGGATCTTTGTGACTTTGAGACTAGCCTGAGCTGCAAAGTGAGCCCAAGGCAAGCTTGAACTATATAATGAAACCCTGTCTCAAAAATACAAAAAAAAAAAAAAAAAAGACAAGAATAAACTTATGATCCATACATGATCATGTAGTAGTAGCTTGTGTGTAAAGTTGGCATCCACACACCAGGATGAGAAATGCACGTTTGCTTAATTTTCTTAATATCTAGGCCCGGGATTTAGCTCAGTGGCACAGCACCTGCCTGGCAAGCATGAAGTTCAATCCCTGGTGCCAAAAAAAAAGTCTTCATATCTGAGCAACTGTAGTCTTGTTAATATGTACTTATTTTAGATTGTTGTTAAGGGTTTTATTTTTATGAGCATGTTTCTAAGAAGTAAGAATTAAACCATGGTTTTTCTTTCGTTTTAAGTGGTGAAGACTTATGGAAAAAGTAGAAAGAAGAAACTGTGTGAATGTGTTACCTAGTTTCCTCTGGTGTCTTATAAAGCCATAGTACAAAACCACAAGTAGTGTACTTGCATTAATACCATAAAGTCAGGAGACAGCATAGGAGCGCAGGGCTGTGGCCATTGCCTGTATTCACAGCTACCTGAGCTGAATCAGATGCATTCAAGTTTGAGGCTAGTTTGGGCAAATTACTGAGACCCTGTTACAAAATAAAAAGTATAAAGGGTTTCGGAGGTCATGCACAGGAGAATTCCCTTTTGTAGCTCAGTGTTTACCCTACAGGCTGGAGGCGCCGGGTTCCAAACTCAGCACATTACTTTTTGGCACTACTGGGGATTATCCCCAAGGGTGCACAACCGCTGGGCTACACCCCTACCCTCTTTAATGTATTTAATTAAATACTGGGGATTGAACCTAGGGCCTTCCCTCTGAGCTACCTCCCTAGCCCTTCATGTGTTGTGTTTTAAGACAGGGTTTTGCTAGGTTGCCATCTTGGCCAGGCTACACTGGAACTTGTTATCTTCCTGCCTCAGCCTCCCAAAATGGTGGAATTTTAGCTCTGTGCCATCATGCCTGGTTCCATGGCTAGCACTTTAAAAATAAACAAATACCAAAAATAAAAATCTCCATTGGTATTATTATTTTTCAGTGGGGAGGGTGCTGCTGAGGATTGAACCCAGGATCTTGTGCATGCTAGACAAGCCCTATAGCCAGGGATTTGGCCCAGCTGCACACGTGTCTGCCTGGCAAGTGTGAGGTTGTGAGTTTGATCCTTGGTACCCAAACGAACAAAACAAAATGAAATATCTATAATCTAGACAAGCATTGTATTACTGAGCTACCTCTCTAGCTTGGTATTAACTGATTTTTTAATTTTTGTGAATTTTGTTGGACATAGAATTACCTTTTTTTCTCTTCTTGGTTTAGTTAAGGATTAAACCCAGGGCCTTTGACATAGTAGATAAATGCTTTACCACTGAGTTATCCAAAAGCAACTTATAAAGTTTTATTTTGTGTTTTCCTGATTACTATTGAGATTGAGTATCTTTATATATTTACTTATCCATTCCATTTCCTTTTCTGGGAAGTACCTGCTTATGCATTTGGCTTACTTTCCTATTGAGCAGTTGCAAACATCCCTGCTTGTGGCTTAGTGTTTGTTCGTTTGTTATGTATTCCACGCTGGTCTTGAACTCGCTGTGTGTCCCAGGCTGGCCTGGAGCCTTGGCAGTCTTCCTGCCTCAGCCTCTCATGTGCTGTGACTGCAGGCACGCGGCTCTGTTTCATTTTCTGCCACCATTATTTGTAGAATTCTAGTTGTTGCTGTTGTTGTGCCGCTCTGGGGACTGAACCCAGGACCTTACTCTTGCTAGGCAGTTGCTCGACCCCGGAACCATGTCCCGAACCGTTTTCTTAAGGCATTTCAGTGGACAGAAATTCTGAAGGTATTTTGTTTTTGTTTTTATGGAAACTGTTCAGTGCAGACGTAATTCACCTGTTGTGAAATGTGCCCAAGTTAGGTGTGCTCTTTTATTGGGAACCTGGCTAAGAGTCCCGATTGTCAGTATCAAAAACCTGGCCAAGAGTTTTGATCATTATTTTCAAGAATGTGGTAAGAAAAAATAAAAAATAGAGACAAGTATCGTCTTTTAACAGTGGCTGGGAAGTTAATGTCTCTGGATCTGACCACCTCCACTCTCAAAACAGCCATGAATTTATTTGGTCTGTATGATGATAGGTGGGGCTAGCACAGGATTACAATTTATCCAAAGACTCTGACTCTAGAGCATGTAGGTAATCTTACGTTTGAAGTGTCTTCACCCCAGTATAATCCTGTGATGACTTAAGAAGTTGGAGATGATCTTATGCTTGGAAGAGTCAATGGGAAGTCCCAGATGGGTGGTATCAGCAGTCCCAATCCTTCCTTTTATCCCACAGGGAAATATGCAAAACCGGTCACTGTGAATCTGTGGTCCCCAGCACTTTATTGGTTTAGTGTATTCAGATGGCTCCACAGTGTCACCCGCATGGACTTGAGAACATTTCTGTTGTCTGCAGAGGGAACGATGTGCTCCTGGGCCATGAGCGCTTAGCGCTGTGCAGCTACGGCTCGGCTCTTCCTCTGGGTCTCTGGTCTTGCTCTCTGTCCTGCCCGCTGTACCCCTCTGTCCATGATGCTGTGCATGCGCTTCCTCAGCTCAGCAGGGGTCAGCGTTTGCGATGTTTCCCCGCCTGTTGGCACATCAAGTGATACTAACCTAGGAGTTCCTTGTGGACCTGTGTTTTTGTGTCTCCTGGGCATCTGTCTAATGTCACTAGTGGAGGAGTTGCCAGATCCTTTTCCCATGGCTGTGGCATCTGATGTCCCTGTAGCAGTGTGAGTTCCAACTCTGCCACATCTTTGCCTGTGCTTGTTATGCCTGACTTGGTCACACAGTATCCTGCTGGGGACGAAAAGGTACCTTGTTGTGGTTTTGAGCCTCCTTCCCTTTTTCAGTGCTGAATTGTATTTCATTGCATGGGCACAGCACAATATGTTTGACCCGCCTATGATGGACATACAGTTTCCAAATTAGTTGAAACTCTCCACAAACATGTTTTATAAATATATTTTGGGCAAATAGTAAAGAGTAGAATTGCTGGGCCGTGGAAATTTAAATTTCTACATGGGCCTGTTTGCCTGTGATATATGAGAAATACAGTTGTTCCACACTTCTCTAATGTTTGTTGTTACTGTTACCCTTTTTTTCCCCCCTTGGCAGGGAGGTCCTGGGGATTGAATCCAGAACTTTTGTACTTAACTACATCTCTGATCCTTTTTTATTTTGAGATAGGGTCTTACTGTGTCTCCCAGTTGCCCAAACTGGGGTTGAACTTGTGATCTTTTTGCCTCAGCCTCCTGAGTGCTGGTGTTATAGGTGTGCGCCACCAGTGTCAGCTATTAAAATTTTGACTTGTTCTTCTTAAATTAGAAATTTGAGTTTTAATGTAGTCAGATTTATCAGTACATTCTTTAAGTGCACGGTAGTTTTATGTATTTATTTTTTAGTTTTTGGTACTGGGAATTGAGCTCAGGACCTTGTGTTTGCCAGGCAGAAGCTATGCCAGGCCCACCTAGTGCTTTTATATCACAAAGGTATTTTTAAAGTTTTGTATTTGATATTTAAGCCCTAGTCCATCTGGAATTTTTGCCTCTTTCAGGACACTCATTCGACCCAGGATCCTTCATTGTTTGTGGTTTCTTTCTCTAGTGATCTGTAGTGTTTGTTATTTTAAAAAAATAGAGTACAGGTTTGTAACGAGTTTTCAAATTTTACCAGGCCAGTCCTTTACTTTATGCTTCCTTTTTTCACGAGTGTCAAGCAGAATGGATATTTTACTATTCTATAATTTTATTCCTTTTTTCTTTTTTAGTTCTTTTTTTTTAGTTTTTGTTTTCTAGCTATAATTTTTTAAAATGTAGCTTTTAATGAAGCCTGTAATCTCAGCACCTGGGAAGCAGAAACATTTCATGTTTGAGACCAGCCTGGTCTATATAGTGAGTTTAGTGCCAGCAAGGACTACATAGTCAGATCCCATCTCAAAAATCCAAGAACAAGCTGGCTGTAATTCTAGCACTAAGGAGGCCAAGGCAGGAGGATCACCATAAATTAGAGCCAACCTGAACTACCGAGGAAGACCCTGTCTCAAAAAAAAGGAAAGATCCAAGAACATACAAACTATGAAAGCCAGGTGTGATTACAGACAGATGCCTGTAGCAGTCTCAGAGGCAGAAGCAGGAGGATGGTAAATTCAAGCTCATTCTGGGCAATTCAGCAACTTGGCAAGACCCTGACTCAGAATTTAAAATAAAAAGTGAGTATGTAGCTTAGGGTGAAAGCCTAGGTACAGTTCCTGATGCTGCAGAGACAAGTTCCTCCTGTTGTGCAACAATCTCTCTTAGGATTCTGCATGGAATTTCCATCGGTTTTGACCATTTTTGTTAAATGTATTTGGAGATCCTGTACTAATTTTGTTGTGTTTTTTATGACTTTATACTTTTAACTTATTGCTTGATTTGGTTTTCTATAATACTATAGCTGGCCGTTTTCCTACAATTGATACCATTGTGGCCAGCATCATGTTATGTACACCTGCTTTAGATTTGCTGTGTAACAACATACCCTGTGAAAATAACAGCCTTGCCCTCCCTTTCTTCCTCCTCCTCTCCTTTCCTTTCTTCTTGGGTAGCACTGAATAGAAGTAATAATAATGTTAGTGCAAGCCTGTAATCTCTTTGAGAAAGGGAGACAAGAGGATCTCAAATTGATGGCCAGCTGGGACAACATAGTGAGACTCTGTG